AAACCCCCCCCCAGCAACCAACAAACAAACAAGCAAACAAAAACAACAACAACAAAACAAACCCAACCCAACCTTAAAAGGCAACAAAGTTTTGTTCAGTTTCCATGCAGCAATAAGTTCTTTGAACAACGCGAGTTTTTTCCGCCCAATGAGAACTGGTTCTTCAACTGTTTCCGTGCGTGGCGCAAGATGGGTGTTCAGCAACTTTCTTTAATGTTGAAAATGATTTAAATTTCCCAGCTTTGCGATTGCTTTTTTGTTAGGGGACTGTGATGTCAAACCAGTGCACTTTCAACGCCCAACAAGTTCGGAGTGTGATACTGCACAGGAGAAAACTCTTGTAATTTATACTTTACCACTTAATTATTTTGCAAACGGGAAAGAACTAAATGGTAGAAGTGCATATATGCATTACACATTCGAATTCGATGGTCGTTGTGAAACAATACCAGCCCTGCATCTATGATCTATGAAACAAGAATTTTAAACACGTGAAAGAGAGCTTGTTGTCCGTAGCAAACATATGGGTTGAGTTCTTAGAAAATGGAAATAACCTTTCTTTTCTATCTTTTCTTGATTGCAACCCTGTTGAGGAAAAAACCTTTCCCTCTTGGTCGTTTGTGATGCATATTGGGTTGTAATGCATGTACAATTATTATTTCCTTACTCGCATGCTGCTTACACTTTTATACAACTATCTAGGATTCTCCATGCAAATTTTGGTCAGTTTCTCGACATAGTTATATGTTTTACGTGCATTTGGGGGAGGGGGGGGGATTTTGATAATCATTTTTGTTGCTGTTATCGCTTTCCTGTGTTCTACATAGGCCTCTTCGTTTTTTGACTTCTGCCATTTCTTCATTTTAGTTGTTTCTTTGGTTTCATCATTCCACTAGCATGCTTTTCTGCCCTTGTTTCCGCCAATTCGCCTGGTGCCACAACTGTTTTTCAGTATTTCTGAAAAAGAATTTGTCAACGAGAGCCACTTTTCTCCTACATCTTTGATCTCAGGTGACAGCTTTTTGTGCTATACAGGGATGTCATACTCGATTGTCTTCTTGATGTCTAGCTTTTCCGGTTTTCATACATTGGTCGTGTTTCTTTCCATGTACATGTATGATTCAGAATTCAGATCATTTCATCCGAACCAGGTCTTGATTCGGTTTAATCTGTGTTGGAAATTTGTACACATTCGTAATCATCAAGTCGCACTCAGTGCATAGCTTTTGTATAATTTCTCCGTTGCTATCTGGGAACCATGAATACTGACCGACCATTGTGTTTGCTTAACGCAATCGCACATACTAATAGATCTCCAGAGGGGTTTACGGCGCCAACGGTCAGCCCGGGGAGTCATAAACCAACTGATGAGATCGTGGGTCCCACACAGGTGGGGGATTTACGGTTTCAACAGGTGACTTTTGGGCCACGGTGTTAATTCACGATTTTCTTATTACGTCAGATTACTCGTTTACATTGAGATAATCAACACAATCTTACACGTGCATATTGTGTCCCTCTGAGCACTATCAAATTATGCAAACACTGTTCGAAAAATTGAGGAATTCACGATTTTATCATGTAGCCGACGATATATTATTATTAT